GTTAACTCGGCCACAAGTCAACTCGGCCACAGTCAACTCGGCCACAAATCAACTCGGCCACAAAAAGTTCGGCTGCAGTCAACTCGGCCACAAGTCAACTCGGCCACAAGTTAACTCGGCCACAAGTCAACTCGGCCACAATAATATTGCTGTTATTATTGGTGTCATTGTTGTTTTTATTACCGTTAGTTTTAATATTAATTATTAGTCTTAGCATTAACATTATGTATTGTTTAAATTTTGCTGATATTATTATTGTTACCATATAAATAATACAAAATTCTCGATTTTGTTAATTCATATTATTAGGCCTATTATATATTAGTCTTAGTATTATTATTTTAATAATAGTAATTTTTAAAATATTGTTATTGGTGTTTTATTGGTATTTTTCTCATATTATTATTGTTGTTGTTGTCGTTGTTGTTGTTGTCACCTTTATTATCAATATTATTACCCTATTATTACTAACTAGGCCTAGTATTATAAGTATCATAATTATTATTATTATTACTAATTAGTATTACTATTATTATAAAAATAAACGTTATCTTTAATTTATTATTGCTGTTATTATTGCTATTATCACCTTCAATGTTATGTGTATAAGAGACAGCCACTATCCTGTGTAAAGAAAGCCTGGCTGGCTTATTACCATATTATTTCTATTAGTATTGTTAAAATAAATATTACTATTAATATTGTTGTTATCACCTTTATTATCATTATTATGACTAATTAGTATTATTAAAGTAAATATTTGAAAAGGACCGACACATCACTGGTGAATCACGTCATTGGATGCATCCTTGTCACTGACGGGTTTCAAACACATACCCCAATGGTCGAACAAATATGAAGGACTGAAGTCTGTCACTTAACAATACCAATTGTTCCTATTATGGATAATTGATATCAGATGCTGCACCCCACCTAATTTTAACGTAGGCCTAATTCTTGGGCGTGGTTCTGAAGAAAATAGTATCGAAATGCATGCCATCGTGCATTCATTTGATTTTAGTCGGATTCAAAATAAATTTTTAACATCTAAAAAAATCATAATGTGGTTTTTCTATTTCAATTTTTTATGATTAGGTCTACAGTATGTACTCATGTTTTATGTCAGTGTTTTAACGTGAACAAAATTAAACATTAATATATGTGTTTTTCTTAATTATTAAGATTGCTTAAATTGTTAATGTTACAATTGTCAGATTTTATTCCATTCTGTCAGTGGCAGGTTTTCTCTGTTGAATAAGAGTACAGTGTTAAGAAATGTATACAACGATCTAACGACGATGTGACGATGATCAGAATTTTACTAAAATATACTGTGTACTTCATTTTAATCATGAAGAAAAAGGATGCAGAAACTGTAATACCGTATTTACATTTCATTTTAATTATAAATAACTTGTGGCCGAGTTGACTGCAGCCGAAG